TTAACAATGATGCCAACTTAGAAAATCCTTCAACGGACCTTCAATAATAACCAGCTAAACTAAGAAAACTTCGAATCTCAATCGCAGACTTCAGAGTCTCCCATTGAAACACAACATCGACTTTAGAAGGATCTATAACAATTCAAACACTCAAAATTACATGGCCAAGGAAACTCACTTCCTTCAACAAAAAATCACTTTGACAACTTTGCATACAACTTCTCCTCTTTCAGCACTTGTAACATAATTCACAAATGTTCACCATGTTCTTATTCTTACTTAGAATAGACCAAAATATCGTCAATGAAGACCACAACAAACTTATCCAGATACGAATGGGAAGTTTGATTCATATACTCCATGAAAACACCTGGCGCATTGGATACACCGAATGACATCACAGTGTACTCATAATGACCATACCTCATTCGAAAAGTCATCTTCATAATATCATCTGGTTTAATACAAATATGATGATAACCCGACCTCAAATCAATATTGCTGAAAACACAAGCACCCACCAATTGATCCATCAAATCATCGATCCTCGGGAGTGGATACTTATTCTTAATAGTCACCTTATTTAATTGTCTGTAAACCACACACAATCTCGTACTACTGTCCTTTTTCTTAACCAACAACACTGGAGCACCCCACGGTGAGACACTAGGTCGAACAAAATTCTTCTCCAGTAATTCTTCTAATTGTTTCTTCAACTCGCTCAACTCTGAAGCTGACATCCTGTAAGGAGCCACCGACACCGAACTTGTACCTGGTATCAATTCTACAGCAAATTCAACTTCTCATTCTAGAGGTAAATCATTGATGTCATCTGGAAACACTTATGGGAATTCACAGACAACAGGTACTTCCACACTTGCAGTCTTGCGATCCACTCGTAACGACGCAAACATTGCAAACATCAAAGCTTCACCTCCTAATAGTTCACCCACTTGCTTAACAGACAGAGACATCATCTCTCCGCTATTACCAAACTTAGGGAACCTTGCCGTCTTATTATAACAACATAGTTGAACTCCAACCAGTTCATTCCAAGAATAACATCAATTTGGTGTAAGGGTAGACACATCAAATCCATCACGAAATTTCTACCATAAATCATTAAAGGACACTTCAAACAAACGAGATTAGTAGTAATAGAACCCTTGGCAGGAAGTTCTACTACCATCCTTCCATTCATATCAGAAAATTTAAATTCCAACATAGTAGCACATTCAAGCGAAATAAATGAATAAGTAGCACCAGTATTAATAATAGTGATTAACTCAACATTGTTAATAAAATAAGCACCTCTGATCAGGTTGTATTTCTTGGCAACTTCTGAACCACTCAGAGCGAATCTCTACCATTAGTATGAGCAGTAGTAGCAACATTCTTCTTCTGTTTTTGACACTGAGTAATGATGTGACCCTGTTCACCATAGTTAAAATAAGTAGGAACTTCATTCTTGCATTTAGTAACACGATGACCAACCTTGCCACCCTGTAACATCTCAGCACCTTATTAGTACAAGCATCAACACAGTGGCCTAACTCGCCACACCAGTAGCATTTCACAGAAGCGGGAGCTCCTCCTCCACTTGGCTTCTTCTCATCATAAACTTTATACTTCCTTTTATAGACAAGAGCAACATACGGTTTAACACGATCATGATTCCTTCCTTTATTCATTATAATTCTTATAAAAAGAAGCTTTGTCTCTACTATCCTGATCGAAGATTCAACATTTATTCACCAGCATGGGAAACTGGTGAATCTGCATATATCCAATACCCTGCTTGATCTCTGGGCGTAGTCTATTCTCAAATCTAATGTACTCCGACAACTCAGTTGTTGGGTCGTTATAGTGCAGACAAAATTTCACCAGTTCCTCATACCTAGCAGCATACTCAACAACTGTCAAACTTCCTTGCTTCAGCTAAAGGAATTCAATATCTTTCTTACCCCACACATATTTTGGAAAGTACTTATCCAGAAAAGAAGTTCTAAATACAACCCAAGTAATCCATGTGCCCAAAATCTCCATCCACTGGCACACATTGTTCCACCAGTCCCCGACTTCTTCTTCTAACATGTGCGTGTTAAACTGCACCTTGTGATCTTCCATGCATACCACTACCTGGAAAATATTTTCAATCCCCTTAAGCCATGCTTGTGCATAATCTCCATCATGCCTTCCCTTTTAAATCGGCGGGTTATTCCTCTAAAACATCCCCTACGCACAAGCTTCATCATCATTCCCACCAACGTTAGATGAATGTTGTACAACCTACAAAGCAGCAATAATCACAACATCGTTTCTTCCATCCATTCTCCTGGTTCACATGACAACAACAAAGGTTAGAAACTATCTCGATAGTATTCAACTGTCACACACTACAAACTCAACAACCTGGCCAGACAAACCGACCTGTTCTGATACCATTAATGTAACACCCTTCTAAAACCCCACGAATAACATAAATGAATAATCAAAGTATTACACCAAAAGGGCGTCACATGATTCATAATACATCACACATGCATGTCTTACTCCGTAACACGGGTTTTCAAAATCATTTATAACAAATACCTCATCAAATAACAACCATAATCGAGGTAACATTCAAATTCAAAATCAAACGTTCCTGACCCTGATGTTACATATCAGAGCAAGACCTTCTAAAAATCAACAGAAAGGAAACAACACACCCAGGATATCTTCTAAGCTCCAACAGACTACTCTTAATCATCTACGTGTTACCCACATGGAGGCAACATTCAAACAGAAAAGGTGAGTAATCACATTCATTACAAAAAGATATACAAAATAGACATAGTAGTTCAACATTAATATCATGGTATCAAAATCAACAATCATCATCATAATCAATCAATTAGCAAAACATCGTATACAACATCATCTAAGCAACAATTATGCAATGCCACATAAAATGTAGTGCAATAACATAGACTCATGCATGTGGTACTAAATCATTATGAGTTCTAGACTCATCACCCTCCAAAGATCCCCATCATAGGATCGTTTCCCTCTTGGAACCGGAGCACAACATCAAATACACTCGATCCACACAATGATATTAAGGCCAACACTAGACTAACATCCTCAATAACACTGGACTTACATCCTAAATCAACACTAGACTTTCGTCCTAACAATCTTATGAATGCATGATGCACAATCAACATAGTTATTTACGACTACATCTAGTTAAGTGCATCACCATTCACAGATTCATCAACAATTTTCACATGGTATAAATACACATCACATATCATTATCAACATCATTCAACACTTCAAAGTCACATCGGATTATCATCTTATCAAACACAATTTATCAAAGCAACATGCATCGTTGTTGCCTACCTCTTAAAGATATAAGTCTATGTTAGCCTAGGTACTAGAAATATACATCTTATTACTTATTTTATTCCACCACATATAGTTCATCGCGTTAGCTATCCAATGCTTCGGACGTCACCTCAAACAAATTTCTAAAACTCAAGTTATGGTACTTTAAAAAAATATCCTACTACAGACCATCGCCTGATGCTCGACCGACGATGCAGTCTGCTCACCTGAGACTCGCCCGATGACGTGGGAGCGACAACACCATATATGTTTTCTGGTCTCCATTGCCTGGCGAAGCACCTTGCTCGCCCGACGACGTGCTCTTCACTTTTGCATCACCCAATAACGCGCGAGAGAGACAATCCTCTCCATACAAAAATCCAGGAGCACCACTTTTCCACCCATTCCTTCGCCCATTTGCTCTCCCGGTGACGACCAGACGACAATGCCTCGCCCGACGACGCATAGCAGATAGCAACTTGCTGTTGCGATTCTGCACCTGTTCAACTCCAAATCTCCTTATGTGTTCGTACCAAGACAGTCCAGATTTTCATAGTTTTTAACATAGAATAACGAAACATCAACCACACAATATTATAAGCATTATATACACAAACTCATGGCAAATCAACATGGTATTTTCATCAATTTCAACATAATTTCATCACAATGTAACATATCATCAAAATCATCATAAACCCCAACAAATCCCTACATACCTCTAAACCCTATATCATTTATAATGACACATTACCCCCTTACCTTAGATTCCTAGCTTGATATTTCCTTTTCGCGATCTACCGAATTCCTCTATGTTCTTCGTGCCATAAAATTTTCTCTGCTCTTCAAATGTTTTCACGATCATATCAAATGACATTCTTTTCCTTCTATTCATTATTTAACCTTAGGACCCTTAATATGTTTAGCCTAATTTGTCCTCACTTAGCCTTTCATCGCTTATCATCTTGCCCTTATCTTCTCTACACCAATTATTCTTTTTTTTTACTATTAATAATTGTTTTGACTAATTTTAAATAATTATTAACTAATTATCTAAATTGCTAAAATATTTCTTACTCATCTGAATTCTCATTATCCTACAACATAACATCACATCACACATCATACTCAACAAAACATCACATATTCTTCAATAATTCATAAATATTTCTAATAACTCATTTAAATTATTAATTCTAAAAATCGAGCTGTTACAACTTAGAGTCCGTTATACGCAGAGGCTCGAGAGGCTTTATAATACAGAAGACAACAGAGGAACGTCGGGAGAGTCACATGTCGACTCCGAGTCTACCGTATGTAGTAATCTTCACATTTATATATCTTGTATTTTATTTTGGTTTGGATAATATTTTGTTTATCAACATTAAATTGTATTTGAAATATTTTGATTAACAACTTTATTGACTTTTGACACATTTTATTATGTTGACTTCAATGACAGAGAATTTTATAACATTATTTTCAATGACATAGAGTGACATTAGAAATCCCCTTGCAATTTGTCTCTAAAGCCCAAGTGGCCGGGCCTTTCGTCTGAGCCCAGAAGGTATATAAATCTAAAAAGAGTGATTAAGGGATGAAAGCAAAACAAGGGAAAGTAGGAAAATGGGAGGGTTAGAGAGGAAAGGGACAGTGACACCACTTGAGTCACAGTTCCCCCCAGAGGAGGTGCACAAGGCCACTAAGCAATTCCAAGACGCCATCGCCGAAAACAACAACCAGCTTCACGTCCTACAACGTTTTCTCGCAGACAACAACAACCTCGTCAACCTCGTCCAGAAACTCCCCGAACAACTCTCTCATGATGTCATGGCAAGTCAATCCTTGCTTTTTCTATGTTTTTTCTTCTTTTTTTTATTACCCTTTGTAAAAAAGTTTAGAAATTTGAAATTGGGTTCTCAGGTTCCGTTTGGGAAAGCAGCGTTCTTCCCTGGTCGTTTGATTCATACCAACGAGTTCATGGTGCATTTCCCCCCCTTTGGTTGAATTGATTATGCATTTTCTTTTTCAATTTTTTTCAGTGGTGATGATTTTTTTGGTTATTAGGTTCTTTTGGGAGAAGGGTATTATGCAGACAGAACTTCCACACAAACTGTTGATATTTTGCAACGAAGAGGGGAGTCCTTGAATTCTCAGGTTGATTCACTTCAGGCCATGATCAACAACCTTTCCTCCTTTATCAATGTCACAGATTCTGAAGTAGCGGTTTGTTTCATCACTTCTCTCATTAGTTTGGAATAACTTTCAATTTAATTTATATTGAGGCAGTTTTGTCAATTCACACATGTAGTATGGTATTCTAACAGGTTAAATCTGTCGTTGAACGCGGTAGTATTATACTGCAATGTGTTGTGTATTTTATTCTAATCATATTGTGTGGGGGACTAATTTTAGTTTCTTGTGCTACACTTTCTTCTCACATATATACATTTGTTGGCATTTCTTTTGGTTGAAAACATTTGTTAGCAATTGGTGTTAATATTTTTTAAGTTTGCATCAATTATTAATTGCTGTTGTGTTTAATTGGCGCAGGAGGGTCTTGTGGAAATAAGAGAAGAGTATGTGGAGGGCGAATCTGAAGAAGAGGGTTCTGAATCAGGCATGTTCTCCCTTTCTTGCATTCCATAGTTTTATAATTATATAAGGTGATACTCCGTGTTCATTAGTCACTATAAACAGAAGCCCATTGTGGCAGGGAGGTTTGAAAAGTTTAAATAAAATTTAAGTCTTTTCTATAATGGTTATTCAAATAGCTGTAATTACTAATTATCAACATCTGGGAAGTTCAAGAAATGAATAATTTGGATTTGGAAGGAGGGTATGAAATTTTCTGGTCTTTTATTTAAACACTACATTTCATTTTACATTTTTTTATATTCAACATTCAGTTTGCACTACTACAGACATTCTTTTCCTAATTTCCTATCTTCCTTTTTTCTCCTAGTTCTAAGCTTTCTAATTGCACTTAAGTTATAGGTCAAAACAATGCTCGTTTATGTAATTTTTTATTGTTCAAATCAGTTTTACAGCGAAATACGAACCCAAAGGAATGCTCATGTTCAGTAGTGGAAGTGGGTACATAAATCAAAATACATGTCGATAGACATCCATTTATAACCACGCGAGTGGGTATATGTATATACCTTAGAATATAAGAAACATATCTTATAATATCTTGATATTATCTTGAATCATCTCATACAATTAGTTTCTCATCTTATCTCTTAAGTTAAAGTTAGTTTCTTTTTATGACTTAATTATTATCCTAATCATAACGGGTTTCTCTATTCTATTATGATTAGTAATCATACATATAAATAGGGGTTTAGTGCTTACTTTAATCTTTGGCATCATCAATTCATCAATCAAAATCATATTTGTAAGATTTTATTCTATCTATTTTTTCTTTTATCTAAAAAGCTCACATTTCAACATGGTATTAGAGTCGCACCATCTTCTGTGACCTTCTATGACACTATTCTGCTGCCAAGTTCCCCAAAGTAGTAAACCTTACAAAAATTTGGAACTCTATTCTTCAAACCCCACACCGATATGGATCCCTCGTAACATCATAGCTGTCAATCTGTCACCTTCGTAATACACTTCAGCATGCACGTTTTTGTTCTTCACACACTTTTGACTTGCCCACTGGTTCTGTTAGTAATGTTGGCTTCAACATTGGAGTAGCATAGCGGGGATTGGGCCGGACTTGCCCACTGGTTCTGTTAGTAATGTTGGTCTCTTCGGAAGTTTCTCTAATCATTGGTCCTGGCATACTGTGCTAAAATTATTGTTGAATAGTCTCAGCTAGGCGAGTTTAGGCACTGTCAAGACTAAGTCGTCAGTTCCAGTCTCATAAAACTTTGTTTCTCCGTTTTGGTTTGTTCTTGACTCCCCAATAGTAGTTACAGTTTATTCTTTCTTGTTTTGGGCCCATCTATTCCAATGTTTTTCAGTTGTTTCTTTGGTACTCTTTGGTTGCACCATGTTTGATATTTAGGCTTCAGCAGCTACTTTGTTATTTCTGCTTCGTTCGAAGTTGCAACACTTTTCAGGTAGAGCTACAACATGTAGCCCTACCTGAAACTACGACTGTTGCAAGCATTGTCCCGGTATCGTTTCAAAGGATTTATCTGTGACAAGCTTAAGCTTTAGTTTGAGAAGGAGTGTAAGTATGAAAAGAAATCTTGATGTTATCTTGAATTATCTCAATGTCTTAATTATGTATCTTATCTTGAATTATCTCAATGTCTTGATTATGTATCTTATCTCACAGGAGTAGTTCACTTTGTTATTATTACGATTCATTTGCGTATTAAGTTGGTATTAGGAGTCTTGTATCCCTAATTCCCTATAAAGAGAGGATAGTGCTTAATCTTCTGGTATCTTCAAATTATCGACCATAATTATATACGGAAGCTTTTATTCTCCCTATGTCATAATCATAATAATTATCTAAAAACTTACAATTTCAACATATACATGTTACTTGTTGTCTCGGGCAGATTACATGTAACATGTGTACTTTGTACATCAGTTTCTTGTTTTTTTATGTTTTATATATTTCTCAACTTTGTCACTCCACGCTTGAAGTTGAATGCAAGCATATATTTTTTATTATTACACCTTTTTACCAATGTCCATAGTTCTAATTTGTTTGAAATATTGAAATTATGATTGGGTGCAATATCAATATCTTTTTTCTTTCTTTTCAGATTCAGCTATTGAAGATGTTCCTAGTTCTGGGAATGATACTTCCAAAGAAGTGGACTATGCTGAATTTTTATCTTTAATGGATGAACTTGAGAAAAAAGAAGCACTTGCTGAAAAAAATGGCGATGACAGTGATCCAAGTGAGGAGACTACTGCTGATTTTGATGATAGTCAATATCAGAGACCTGCCGATAACAATCCCCAAAATCCAGAAGTAATATTCTTGATCAATTTGTTGTCTCTAGTTTCGAAACCTTATTTATAGGCTAGAGCACAATGAACTATGATAACTTAGGATTTAATTTTCTATGAAGTAGGGTAGTAATCAAGCCATACCACTGGACCAGAGAAGCAATAGAAATGTAACTGATGAGTTTCCAAAAAAGCATAATCGTCAAGATATAACTGATCAGTTGAATGTAAGAAAATTTCTTTCTATCATCTTATTTCTGCTTTTAAGTTATTTTATATGTATTATATAACTATTCATCTAAAAAAGTATATGTTTTTGCATTTTACTTTTGAAAATGCAGTTTGCGAACCTGGCTGTTCAATCTCAAGTAAAAGGTTGGTATTCATTAAGTTCTATGCGCTCTCATTTTCTTTGTATATGCATTTTTCACGGTTCCATGATCTATAAATGGCTGCCTGAGCCCTTTGCATCCACTGTAGAGTTGAATTTCTGTTGTGTGTTGTGATCTATCAGAAGGGAAAATTTTAGCACAAAATGTGAAATCCATTGATTCTAGTGTGAAGCCGCCCATAGTTCCTAAAGAGAAGATATCTCAAACAACTTCGACATCGGAAATTGAGGTATGCAAATCTTTTGATGAAACTTCCATCATAATTTCTTTCCCGTAGGTAGCTTGGTCTATACTTCTTGAAATGTACAACTATTTTACGAGAGTTGATACTTGACATGTACAATTATTTCCTTTTTACAGGTTGAACATCAAACTTCACAACCATCATTTGATAGTCGCAAGGTTTGTTTAATCTTTATAATTTTATCCCTTTCAAGTCGTAATAGTACCCTGCAACAAAAATATATAGCAGTTGATGCTTTTTTTGAATTAATATTTTCTGCAGGCTTTTACAGGCTCCATCATAGAGCATGGCGAGAATTTAAAAAAAGCTTCAAGAGAACAAAGTTCAACTTCACAGGTAAATTAATTGAGTTATATATGTGCCGGTGGCGCCTTCATAAATAAAAGAATATTTGCTTGTAATCATGATTTTCAAAATCCTTTGCATTTTCATCACTACCTAAATGATTATGGTTTTATATTTTAACAGGTTTCTGGTTTTCAACCTTTAAAACCAGTCTCCAGATTCAAAATGCAGAGAAAATAGATACAATAATATGTTTGTTATTAGAATCAAAAACAGAAAAAGTGAAGGTTATGAATAGTTGAAGTTATTGTGCTTTGCTTGTATGATGAAGAATCCAAAGAAAAGAAGGCATAATTTGTAGCACCCTTAAACAAATTTGACAAGTTTTCTGGTTTTTGTAGTGGATTGGAATTGGAATGAAAATGAAGTATTTAATTAGTTTTTTTAATGAGAAATGTAGTTAGTATCATGTGGGGATGAGAAACTTGAAATTCATTTCAGTAACTTGTATTTACGAAACATGGTTTCTTTTAGATATATTTTTAACACCCTGATGCATATAAATATTGTTTAAAATATATACATGAATGGCTAATAATCGATGAACTTTGATTAAAACTACATTATATAATTAATTTAAAATATTTAAAGATTAATTGAATTTTGATGTTAAAATCGAAATATTTTAGAGTTTAATGATATGCATAATAAAATAGTTTAAAACTGGGATTCAATAATAAACTAACATTCTGTCATGTTTTTAAAAAAAATTTAAAATAAAAGTGATCTGTCAATGCCATTTCAATAGTAAATTGGTCAAAAAAAAGTTATTTTTAATGATATGTGTCAGCTCCAATTCAGCATTGAATTGGTCCAAAGTTATTTTTATTTAAGATTTATGTTAAATATGTCATTAATGTGAATTCTATGTCATTAAGGAACTAAAATTACAGATTTTAAAATAAGGGGATCAAAATTCAAAAAAATGAAAAATAGATGGACTAAAATTATAATTAAACTATAATTTAAAATGTCAAATATATAAACAAACGAAATTTAAAAAATAGTTTTTAAATCCGTGAAGCATGTGAGCTAAACCCAACGAGTCGAACCGAGTTCGTAAATTTATAATGAATCGAGTTTGAGTTTAAAAAAAATTCGTGTCAAATACAAATCGAAATTTGAACTGATCTAATTCTTAACGAATCAATCCGAACTAAGACAAATTCGACTCAACTCCACTAATTTTCAATCCAGATTAATAAATTTATAACTTATTTATTTAGTCTCAAATATATTTAATGGTTTAAATCAATTGATGGAGAGAAGATGAAAACCATAAGCGAAGATGATATAAATCTATATATTTATGAAATTGCATAGTAATGCATAAAAAGAATTATGAAAAGGGAGTTAGCTTAAATTTTTTAAAAGCAATTTTAGTTTTTTTCCAATTGTATTTTTTTAAATAAATATTATTTGCATCATCTCAAACTGTTTTTGATTATGATGCAAATATATTTTTTAATAAATATTATTTGCATCAATCTCAAACTATTTTTATTATTATGCATATATGAGATATATAGGGTGTTGCTTCAACATTTATTAATATTTACATAAATAAATAGAAGCGATTAATAATTATACATTTATGTAAAATTTACAATTTTTTTGTTGAATCGATTTTGGATGTACATATAAAAAATTATTAACCTCTTAAAAGGTATCAACGGTAATTCTAATTTCTACCTTCCCAATTGTAAAAGTATAAATGTTAGTGCTTCAAATTGAAATTAAAATCAGGAGTATATATTTAAAATGAATAGAATGATGAATTTTCCGTTGAACTAATTAAAATTGCAACACATAATAAATCACATCATATTGTTGGCCTCTTGCAACACATAATTTACACCGATAGATGTCAGCAGTTCGAGTCCGCTTATCTCCAACTCCATCAAGTTAAGGGCAAGATTCAAACGAGGAAAGACTTATAATGGATACCTAGACACTAATCAGAACTATTTAAATAAAAAAATTTCACTCAAAAATGCTAATATTGCCATATTTGGAGTGTTTGGAGAACAAACTACATCTAAAAATTCAATTTTATAAAAGGAAAAATTGACTATCTATGCATTTACACATTTTTCTACTATTTTGGTATGGAAGGCCTGCATTTGTTTTGTCATCCATGAGGAACCATTACTCAACCTTTAAGCTTTTTCTTTTTCTTATTGTAGTCTATAAGCACTTTTTCTCGCTCTACTGGAGTTGCAGATAGTAACCATTTGCTAAATGCAAGCTCATCCATTCCCATAGACTTCGCCAGGAGGCTAAATTGGGCTCTCTTCCTTTCATCAATCAAAGGGATTTTCTGTTTTTTAGGTACACAATCTGGTTTTTTCCTTTGATGGACTAAAGACATGTTTGATAAGCTATCACTTGAAGGGGCGCCGTCGGTAGATAACTGCCCTTGAATCGCTGGCCGGGAGTTGACAATGTCTTCGTTGCGATGAGCGTAAACAATGCCTAAAATTACAAAACATCAGTTTTCTATAAAACAAAATTGAAAACAGAGAAATTATAATTATTGAATCTGACACTGATAACTTACCGAGGTCTTCAAATTCAATATCTGGTTTACTTGTTGAAGCACCCGTAGATTCATCACATAACCTGGTTTCAGAATCTGATTCTGATAAACCAGTTTCTTCTGACATTTTTATTTTTTCATGTTCTGTTTTAAGCCCGTCTTTTTTACGCGTCTCATGCAGTTCAACGATTTCGCTGGTAAATAGTTTATCAGATAAATCTCGAAATAAATTGCAAATTCCAAAAAGCTCCCCTGTAAATTCCTTACAATCCTGAAAGGAAACTAATTATTTTTAGAATTATTACAAAACAAATGAGAAGAATTGCAACGTCGAAATACATAGATATTTAGGTACCTGGACACCTTCAAAATATCGTTTTTCCATCTTTCCAGAGACAGCAATGTTTGAGAGCTGCTGCTTGTAAATCTGACGAGAGTAAACAAGTTCTTCAAGTGAACCAGCTGCGAGGAGACGAAATACCACTACATGCCGTCTCTGTCCATATCGAAAAGACCTGTCCTGAGCCTGTAAGTCTTGTGCAGGATTCCAGTTGGGATCAAATATTACAACACGGTTCGCACTGACAAGGTTCAATCCAAGCCCACCAGCTCGAGTAGATATCAGGAACACCTAAAATGACAAACAAGAGTGTAATACAAATGGAACCGGAAAAATGCTTGTTCAGCTATCTGGTTTGAGATATACTTGTTTGCTAGGACTAGAGTTGAAATCATCAACCAGAGACTGACGTAAATTAGTTGGTGTCGACCCATCAAGTCTTGAGAAGCAGTAGCCTTTTCGTATGATAAATTTCTCCAGTATGTCCAGCATCCTGAAAAGAGCAGCTCAAGTCAAACAGCAGAATATAAGGAACATGCAAAGAGCAGATTACTAATGCCAACTGTTAAGAGTCCCAAATCGGACAATATAGGGCCAGAACATGTCCTTATAAGTGGGAGCAATCTTCACCCTACAAGCTGGTTTTGTAGGGTTGAGTTAGACCAAACCACATTTCTTAACACCAACGATATTCGATCACCTCAAGGCTGAAAAGCACAACCATGGCCTAGTGGCAATAGATTTGAAATCAGGAATTTAAAAAGACAAAATAGAGTTAAATAACAAAAATTCCAATTGCTATTATAGTAAATTTATCTTAACTTATAAGATACCCAGAAAAGAATTAAACATGATCTGAAGGTATATCAACTATTTACCTTGCAGAATAGCTAAACAAAAGAACTTTGTCACCATGTGAAAACCATGACAACAATAGTTTTTCAAGTGCTCGCATTTTGCCACAATGTTCTGCATCGCTTAGACCCATGAAACTCTCATTCTGCATGCTCCCGCCAACTAAGTCAATGTCTGGGCCATATACAGCAGCAGCAAACTTTGCATCTTTAACTTGTTTTTCAGGGTCATCTTTGGGGTTTGGCTTAATCAGCTCGAGGTGATTGCTTATCTGGCATAAAGAAACAGTAATATTCAAAATAATGTGAAGAAGCATGAGCATGATCATAAACAAGTTTGTTCAAGGGGTAGAGCACTGAACATAGTGTATACAAAATGAAAGGCATTAGTGCTCCACATGGCTTGGAGCACTAATGAGTAAAGCTACAACAGATGTCCAGTGCTCTGAACAAATTAGCCGTTAAGGATATTTTGGAATGACAGTATGTTCAAAAAGAGAGGTAAAGAAATTTAAAAGACATCACGTAACCTGTTGTAGCTTGACAAGGCATGGAAGGACAAGGCAAAAGGGGCATGAATCACATCCATCGGGGTTATCTTTGTGAAGGTAAGGCCACATAGCTCCATCGGGTACTATTCTTTTGCAACACTCAACTTGAGTAAGAGGGCTACCGCAACTACAAGGTCGGTCTTTATTTATAAGGCATTGAATGTCAGGAAGCTGGATCATTCTCCTATAAACACGTTTTTGCAAATCACTCATTGCACAGAACACAATGTTATCTTCCTTCCCCATCATAAGATGCCCTATGGTCTCTTCCTTTGTCCTTCTCAACATAAATTTATTAAGAACCACAACAAGGTGCTGTTTTCTCTTATTAGCAATTTGGAAAAACCTATCAGGAGCAGTTGACCTCTGACCATGCTTAAGGGGTTCATCATAAAACTCACGGAAGTGTTCACGTGTTCCAAGGGATCCAGGTGCAACCAAATCAAAGAGATTGAACAATTCTAAGATCTTATTTTGCATTACGGTCCCAGTAAGACCATATCGTCGCGGGGTTTTAATTTCTAAACATGCTTTATAGAGTTTTGATTTCTCATTCTTAAGTCGATGGGCCTCGTCAATAATCACAATGTTCCAGTGGATATTTGACAAAGAACTGTTGCCATGAATCCTATAAGTGTCAAAACTGGTAATAAGTACCTCCACTCCATTTGCTTCCAATTTATCATATATCAAATCGCGGTTCGCACCGTGATAAATGGAAACACTGAAGTTGGACCACTTAGAAAATTCACTCTCCCAGTTGTGAATAACCGATGATGGGCAAATTATTAATACAGGGTCTCTTTTCTCCACTTGCTTCTCACTGAGAACAGACTCTCCTTCTTTACCAAATATGGCAGCAAGAAATGCTATTGTTTGAATTGTCTTTCCAAGAC